CTTCTTCTTCTTCTTCTTCTTCTTCTTCTTCTTCTTCTTCCTCTTCCTCTTCCTCTTCCTCGAACTCTATTGCTTCTGGTACCACTGCGGATTCTGGTTTTCTCACTCTGGCAGCCACAAACTTCTGTTTAGATTCCACAGTTTTCTCTACTGTAATCCTCTCTGGTTTTTTAGGTTTAGTAATTAGTACCTTTTTTCCTGGTATACATTCTATAGTTTCAGGTATCACTGCATGTTCTGGTTTGGTTTCCTTCTGTTCTTCCGCTTCAACCTTGAGTATTTCAGGAACCCCAATATGCTCTGGTTTCCTAGGTTTTGTGATAGTTATTTTCTGTTGAGACACCTGAGGCTCTACCATTTTCTGCACTGTAAGGGGCTCAGCTTTTTTAGGTTTAGTAACTGCTATTTTCCTTTTTGACAACTGAGGTTCAGTTGTTTCTTCCGGAGCTTCTAGTTCTACAATTTGGGTTTTTCTAGGCTTATCAATGGCTACCTTCTTTTCTGGCACTGTCTCTACTACTTCTAGCAGCTCAGTAGGTTCTTGTTTTCTAGATGTGGAAACTGTTATCTTCTGTTCTGGTACCTGAGGTTCTGCTGGTTTAGGTATAATGACGGATTCTGGTTTGGGAGGTTTAGCAACAGTTTTCTTCTCTTCTGATATTTGAGGTTGTATTGTTTTAATTTCAGCAGTGGATTCTGCTTTTTTATATATAGAAATTGTCTCTGGTTTTTCAATTTTTGCAACAGGTATCTTCTCTTCTGCCATTCCTTTTCTGGATACCTTAGACACTTTAAATAAAATTAATTCTTGTAAGAATTTATAAAACATAAAATGCAAATGGCAGCATCAAACTGAACAAATAAAATAATGGAACATTTTCAATGGTTTGGTGATTGTTGCTTTAGGTATTCTTTGAAGAGAGTATGTACCTTTGGAAGGCAGAATCTCTTCTTTCCTAGAAATGATAATTGGAACTCTTTCTTCTTTTTCTTCTGGGAGGATTTCCTCATAGGCTTCTGCCACTTAAAAATATTAGTTTTCTTTAGATATACAACTCATACTTTGAACATTTTTGGAGAATAAGACAACAAAGGACTGTGAACAAACAGAAGATCTAGCATTCTATATTAAGGCTCTAATTTGTTCATAATTTCTGAAGAAGGTCAGTTTTTAGATGAAATAAGTTGTTCCTGTATAAAAATACTCAGTCAGAAGTTAGATGTGCTTATTCAGACTTGCCCTGTGCCTGGATGCTGCTCATAAATGAGCGGCCTTTTATTACAGTGCAGGTGGCTAGGTTTTGTGCAGCTGCATGGAAGATTTGCCGGACCTTGAAGGGTCAAGTTTCCACTAGACAGATGTATTCTATGTAATCTAAAATATTATCATTTTTGGGGGTAACTTTACATATTATCACATTTTACTTAATCTTTAGATACTATCACCTTTTTGTAATTTTAGATGTTATCACATTTTATATAATTTTCGATACTACTTTATAACCTAGACATAGATTGCTCTTTTTGGACTTCACTCACAGATTCTAGTCAGGTTGTTTTATAAATGTATTTTAACTTTATCTTAAATTTTATTTACTATCTTTTAAGATAGATTTATAAGCACTCACAGAGCACTCATGGACACATTGCTTGTACTGGTCTAGGACTATAATAAGCTGATGGACTGACTGATTGATCTGCAGAATTATAACTCATGTTTGCTCCAGAGACATGAAAAATGGGAAACAAGGTAACTATTGCTAAGAAAAAAAGGAATAGTAAAGATGCTTTCCATTGTATACCTGAGAGTAAGCCATACTGAACACAATTTCCTTCTGAAGAAATGTGCATAAGATTTAGCTATATTTAGTCTACTTGTCTGAAGACAATGGAACTAATCAAATTATAATTTGAGTATTCTAGTTTAAGTTTTTGATTTGTAGTCAATCAGTTTTTCAGTTGAATGTTGGAAAAAAGTAAATAAACTCTATCTTTTTCAAAGATTATTTTTCTCAATTTTTCCTGAAAAGCACATTTTAAAAAGCACATCTTGGATAAACACAAGACAATAATGGGATAAAAGGTACCATAAAAGCTACTTTAAATAACTTTAATATAACAGATAATGAAATTTCATGTGGCTGCTAATCCTATCAGACAACAATAGATTCCTTGTATGACGCTTAAAGCTGATCTGATAAATCAGGCCATTGATAACAAAACAGTGATGGAGTTAGTGGTAATTCTTAGCCAAACCTCAAAGGCTCTGGTTATCTAACTAGGGTATTTAAATTTCTCCTTTTAGCATGTGCTGGTCAAATGACCAAAATAAATTAACTACTGCATTACAATCTAGCTAGGGTATGCAACATGAAACATTTTCAGGTTAGATTATTTTTCAAAATGTTCTAATTAAATTAAATAGTTTCAATAAGTGCATTCTCTTCCCTAGATGAGAATTTCTTTTTCTGATATTGCAAGGTTCCTTTAAAGATATTAATTTCTGCAAGAAGTTCTTTTTTTAAAATGTAAAACAGAAAACCAGACAAAATAAACAATTAATGACAATAATACACAAAACTCAGAAATATATGATAATGAACTGTGATGATAGCTTGCTTGAAATTCATTTATTTTAGGATTACTTTCATGAAGAGCTGAAATACCTTTAGATGCTGGAAGTTCCTGTATTTTAGGAGTCCATGCAGTAGGAATTATTTTTTGAGGAATCTTCTTCTCTTGAATCTCAGGTGCTTTAAAGATATTAGTATTTTTTAAAAAATAAGAGGTTAATGCAAATGACATACAAACAAACAGTTAGAACAATATACATGTTTCACTGGTCTTGTATTATTCCTCATATGGTTTCTTCCATGCAAAAATTAATGATAAAAATTGTGGCTTTGGTTTTAGGTCAACCATTTCTTTCATGTTGACACCTGTTTTAGATGGACTGGAATGATAGATAAAAATATTATACTGTAAATCTGCAAGCCTAAATGTATTTTTTAGGACAGTATTCCTCAAACTGTTGTCTTCTAGAACTGTTCTACTATAATCTTCATCAACCCATGCCAGCATGGCTATGAGACTGATGATAATCTCAAGAAGTAAGTTAATTGAAGAGATGCATTTAACTTCAGACTAACCATTTAGAAGATAGATGTTTTCTCCCTAAAATGGTATTGAGAAATCTCTTATAATTTTCATTCAGTTCTCCAAAGTAAATTGAGAGTAATATATTGAAGATCATCATTGGCTACAGGTGTTGCCTCCCATGACTATGGAAGCACCCAGTGGAAAGACATTAGATTCTCAGTACTGAATTTTTTCTCATTTGATTATTCTATAAAATTGCACACACTTTTTAAAAAGGCAATGAATGAGTCCATCTTCCATTAAATCTTTGATTCTAAAAGAGATTAATAGAGGAAAACAAAGAGTCATAAACTGTTATTCCAGCTGCAGCTTGAGGATACTACCTTTGATGAGTGGTACTTCTCCTTTAGGAACAGGTTTCTTCTTTTCTAGCCCTTCTCTCTTGGCCACTGGAGGCACATGAAAGATATTAGTTTCTTTTTGAGTATATAGACAAACATAAAACGTATTAGACAAAAAGGGAAGGGGGAAGGCGAAAAAACCCCAAGAAAACACTTTAAGGGATGATTGCTTGAGAACTTTGTATACAAATGGATGTACCTTTAGCTGGAAGAGCTTTGTCTTTTGGGGGAATTCCAGCTGGTACTTTTTCTTCTGGAAGAACGTCCTCTTCCAATTCGTACACTTTAAAGATATTAGTAGATTTGAGAAATCTCAAAATGATACACACAAATGACAGATTAGAAAGACAGCATTCAATGAACAGATGAAGAAGACATGTAATCACTGATAAATAAAGCTGCAACTAAAACTCTCAAAAACAATTCATTAATAATTTGCATTCTAATGTCTGTAATAATAATAATTTATTAAATTTATATGCTGCCTGACTCCCAGCGACTCTGGGCAGTTTACAATTGTTAAAACATTTAAAAACAAAGAACAATAGAAAAAACACAAAGACAACACAAGACAAAAGAACAACAATGGCAAAGAAAATAAACCCAGAGGGGAACAGAAGGGAAGAAAGGGGCATCAGTCATCCTTGCCAAAGGCTCCAAATCCATTATTGCTCTTCCCTTTTCAAAACGCAAAGACTAGCAGCCCGAGCAATTATTTTTGCAACTGAAAATGAATTAGTATATTGTTGCTAAACATGGTGGCTACTAGCACTGCTCTGTTTGATAAGATACTTTATACTTAGATTAGGACTTCAACATTGAATCATCTGAGATGCTGCGTCACAGTGTGCCAAAACAATATAAAAACAGTATAACGGAGACAAACAAGCAACAAAAACAGACTAAGACATCAAAAAGGAAGAAGAGCAAAAACGGCGAACCCAGTAAAGCCCAAACCATCCCACTGACAGCCGACGTCCAACAAAGAGGGCCCCAACCATCCAAAGCCAAGGCCTGGGAGAATAATGTCCAGACAGAAACAAAAACTAGGGCAATATCATTAACGCCAAACTGATAAAAATAAGTACAAGATTTTAATCTCCTTTCCCCACAATATTAAATGTACCTTTAGGTGGTAAAGGCTCCTTTCTTTTTGGAACAGCCTTAGGCACCTTCTCTTCCGGAACAGCTTTCTTAGGCACTTTAAAGATACAGGTATAATTTTGAGTTATTAACTGGTATAGGAATCTGAGAAGACTGTTACTTAATAATGATGAAAGAACAGGACACAAGATCACACCTAGTGAGCATATAACCTGATATAACCAATATGTACAAAGGAAAGAGACAAGATGTAAGACAGAATATCAGCAATCAAGTCAGAATTTGTTTCATAACGACAGCTGGAGAAAAGGTGTACCTTTAGGTGGGGGAGCCACTTCTTTTTTAGGAACAGCAACTGGTACTTTTTCTTCTGGGACTGGCTTCTCAACTGCAGGCATTTTAAAAAAGATTGATTTCTTTCTTAAGTACTTATTCAGGTGTTGAATTAGGGATTAGTCAACAATAAACAAGAACAAATGGAGTATCTCATATTCAAAACTTAGGGAGAAACAAAAAAGAGCAGGCAATCATTCCAATCACAACATAAAAATGTCTTAAAACAGCTGAGGGTGGGGCAGGAGAGAGGAACGGGGCTGCAGACAATTGGACAACTCTCTAGCATGTGTAGAAATGCCTTCTGGTCCTGGGCTAAAATTTTGGGGTTCAAACTTTCATGTTCTGGGCCTTTTACCTTACTATGATTTTTTCATTCCTCAGATATGCATTTAGGAAGAATTCTCAAAGCCCATGAATCTTCTAGTTAATTTAAACCTAGTTAATGGAATACAGCTATTTCCCTAGTTCTGCTTCTCTATTATAATAAATCATTGTCAATTTTTCATAACTGGAATAATATTACAGTGGATTTGATTTCATTATGTTGTGTTGTTTGCTAAATTGCACTGTGACACTTTGTATAAAAAACAGACTGCAAAACAAATAATAATGATCTGGTTGAGAACCTAAATAATTTAACTAACAATATATTGGCCTAACTTTGATCATGAATGCTAATGAAAAAGGAAATATAATGAATATGATCCTTTAATAAAGAAATATAAAGAAATAAAGAAGTATAAAGAAACACATATTTCTTTATTAAATAAGAACAAACTATGATAGTAACTTATCTATGTTTCTCTCCTAGGTACAATAGTTTGTACTTATACTGCAGGAATGCTTTTGTTATGCATCTCAGGCACTTGAGAAACATTTTAGGCAGGAGTTCTAATCATTTGTAAAGAAACCAAATTACCAATTTCAGTAGGTATTGATCATAACTATATTTTAATTTGAAAATCCCCGGTAATGACACGATACTTGGTCTGATCCACATTCCCACATGGAACCTTCTACATATAAATCAGTAAATGAGGGTGGGTGGAAGGAAAAGATTTGAAAAGAGTCTAGTCAAGATACAATAAATAAAAGAATTGATGTACCTATGGCTGCTGGAGCCTCATATACTTCCTCATATTCTTCAATCTTCTTAATCTCTTGAACTTCTTCATAATACTTATATTCCTCTGGTTCCACTGTTTCCTCATACTCTTCAACTTCAGGTTCTTCTGGAACTTCCTCATAATACTCAACTTCAGGTTCTTCTGGCACTTCTTCATATTCTTCCCGTTCTTCAGCTTCTTCTGCTGGCAGGATCTCCTCAGCCTTCTCATATGTTTCATACCTCTCATATTCTTCATAAACATATTCTTCAACAGTAGGAGTAGGAACAGTGACCTTTTCCTCATGGACAATCTTCTTTCTTATCACAGGCACTTTAAAGACAATTTCCCATTATTTCAGAGACTGGTTAAAAAACATTCAAAACAAAGTTAAAAATAAAAGCACTCACACATATCAAATAATTATAACACATTATTCTAAAAAAAAATAATTAAAAAGCCATGTAATATTGCTAGTCAGGAAAAAGAAACTGGAAGACATTATGAAAGATTATGAGGAAAAAATCTTTGCCAAATATTTGGGAGACATTGAAGTGAAGTTCTCTTTCATGCAGCAGCAAATAATTTTCCATATGAATCTCTTTCTCTTTTATTTTCATTTAATTTTATATTTTACTTCGATTTGAGAGTTCACATTGGCACAGAGTGGGTCTCCCCTCATTTTATTCTTACAAGAGCCCTGTGAGATAGTGACAATCCTAAAGTCACCTAGCAAGTTCTATGGTTGACTGGGAGGACTGCAACTGGCTATATAGTCATTGCTTTACAATGCAAGAATAAGAAAGAATAAGAAAGCAACATTAAACATACAACATGGGTTCATGATTTTTCTTTTGCAAATATTTGACATACACATTATTGACATATATTTGACAAACTATGAAGTACATATACAGAGTTTAATGAGGTGGAATAAATACACTTTTAACCAGA